TGTTCGGTTACTTCTTCGGATGCCGAACTGCTCCAACTACTACCTTCCTCCCACGATTATGTTCTACAGCCTGAATCTTTAGATAAAGAACTGCAAGAAGGGTCAGCACAATCTGACAATCTCGTAATTTCCCATGTTTCCTGCTCAGTTTTACGTAAATCTTCAAGATGACCGCTCAAAGCACGTCGTCGTGATGCTCCTTTGATGGGGCTTCCACATGCTGAAGAAAACAGCAAAAAACAACAGGTTTACCGGATTTATAGTCACAGTTATGATAGCTCGCTTGTGCGTCTTATCAGCAGATTGCGCCACGTCACAATGGCGTCCGCCGCGCTCGAGAGCATGCAAAATCGATAAGCTAATCATCTATCGATTATGTAATTATCCCAAACAAGGACAAACAATCACACGTGTAGCTCGCGTTTGCGTAGTACGATAACGCGCGCATTGCTAGTGGGGGCCTCAAATGACTTCATAGAGCATGCCTATACAGAAAGAAAAAAACTGATTCAGTTTATAAAGCACGAAATTGTATTGTGATTACTCTCTCATTGTCACGGGTTCGAATCCCACCTTACAGGGCTTAAGAGGGTGTCTTAGCTAATCCTAGGGTTAAATATTCCCCAAAGCATGAGAAGGATGAACGTCATAGCAGTAAATCAATCGCTTGATATTAAGTAAAGTTTTTCGAAATTGCACGCAGAATCGCAAATCCAACACTTTTATTTTTCGCGTTGTTCAAAATACGAGTAAGGATGACTTGTGTAGCCGTCTTAACGGGATAAGGAAACAGAAACCGCCCACAGTGCATGTGGCTTTGTGCCAAATTTCGGGAAAATTATACTTATGTTTAAGGTGTGGCTTAGGTTTAAGGTTGGACTTAAGGTCACAGTTGGGGCTACAGTCAGGATTATGATAAAAGTCAAGGTTTAGGATCGTGCTTACTGTACGGTTAGGGTTTAGGGTAGAGTTAGAGCTGGAGTTTTGTTTTATAGTAGGATTAGTGTTAGGGTTAAGGCGCGCGAATACTTGCCCTTCCTGAAAGTTATCGCAAAGCCGTCTACTTTAGGTCTGGGGCGTGTTCCTATACCCGTGTCCCGTTTAGGCGGCCATACAAGTAATCCTTACCGAAATCCGGCTGACCAGCGCAAAGTGGATTTGTCGGAGTTGTTGATTGGGAGGTAGAGGTCACAAGAATGACAATTGTCGTGTAGGATAAGATGGAGTGGATCCGACAAAGCAAAGGGAGACCGTAATGACCATTTTTGACTTGTTAGCCGTCATCAGCCAACTGTAATGTGAACTCCAGGGCGAAAACGAACTGAATCGTTCCATTACCAAATCGGCGATGCCCGTATATTCGTCATCTTCCCAATTTCAACCGCCATAACAACGAGCGGTAGAGCGCTCAACTCAATAACCAAAGACTCAGGGTTCGAATCTCGATAGTTCCGAACCCTTAAGATTTGTTATAACTGGTTAATGACGGCTTACAATCCAGAAATGGCTATTCCAGTCTCCCTTTGCTTTTTTGGATCCATTCTTCCTATCCTTTTAGGCTCTACGTGACCGCCCGCGTGGACTCTAATGTGAGCTCCAGGGTGAAAACGGAACTCAATTGTTCCATTACCAGATCGGGCGATGCCCTCATATTCAGCATTTGTCGCGTTGGGAGGGGCTACGCACTGACTAAAAAACTAAACGCCAGATTGTCTGCGCACTAATGGGAGTTGTAGCGTCTTCCAACTCGGACGCCACGCCACGTAAGAGGTCACGTGGTTGCGGTTCATGGCCTGCTCCTGGGATAGCCAATCCCGGGTGCTACCAACACCTATTGGCCGACTAACTGTTCAAGCGGCCAGTGACTCACTCTAGCATGACCTTTACCCATTCACGCCCACCTCACAGATGCGAATGCAGGCTCCGAGCTTACCGCGCATCGGGGCTTCAGACCACCACTGAGTTTCTGTACAGAATATACAACCCCCGCCGGTCTTTCCTTTTCTCTTCCTTTACGGAAACGGACGTGATAATTATAGTGCTTCGAACACACCTACGGCTTAGATGCCCCACAGATTCCCCTCCCACAACCCGATTACACCTTTTCTAGCCGCGGTGGAAGGCATTGCCTCTTAAGGCGTCTTCAAGCCATCATTTGCGCATTTGGATGTCCTCACTAAAAATGATGGTTCCCGTGGCCTCCAGTCGCTCAAACCTACATGTGGAGTACATTTGTGGAAGTTGCTTTTTCCGCAGCCGAAGATTTAGTCTGAATTCCCATCGGTTAAAAAAAGATTAATATTCACTCCAAAAGGTACGATAATTTTCCTCTTAATCAGATAAGAAGCGTCCGCTACCGCCGACTGCTTCATCAAAGGGCTTTGTTCTGGAATTTCGCAGATGTGTGTTTATTGCCTTCGCTTTGTTTTTTTAAAGTCAGGCAGGACGATGAAACATTTTCCTCTTCCGTACACACTTCCAAGAGTGCGGCCTTTTAAATTGAAGCATATATTCTGAAAGAGGTTAAATCATTGCCCCGATAGTTGCTATAGCGCCTATCTGATTAACCTAAACCCCATAAATGCGTGTTAACATATATTGGGAATTTAAATTGCTGTAGACATGCTTGAAGGGGTGGAGAGCCCAGCTCTAGAGCAGAGATTTAATCACATTTCGAAGCCCTGTGTCCCATTTACTCTGTTGTTGTTTCTAGTGATGAGTCTAGGAGTGAAGGCGAAAGGTCAAGTGCACAAAGGCCCCCACCATCTTATATACAGGGTGTCCCAAAAAATGTATGCACATTTAAATAATTGTAAACTTGGTGTTCATTATAGTTTTATTATTTCAAAAATGAAAAAAATATTTACAAACATCATTGTATTGTTTTTTCATTAAATTTTGACTATTGCAACAGTGGCTGAATTGAGAGAAGCCATTGAACATGAATTCCCCCAAATACCAAGGGAATTGTTTCATTGTGTGTGCAATTCGATTGCTTCGCGGTGTCAGCTGTGTCATGATCAAAATGGACGTCAGTTTGAGAAAATTCAGTGAAAAAAACAATAAATGGATACTTGTAAATAGTTTTACATTTCTAAAATAATACAATTATGATAAACACCAATTCTACGATTATGTGAAATGTGTATAATTTTTTCGGGACACCCTGTATACTATTTTCTGTAATTTTTCTTGTCTTCCGTCTCGAGAAAGAGAGGTGGTCAGTTATTTTGAGAATCTTCACTTACGCTAACAGCTTTCCCAGGGACACTATTTCTGCGTTTTAGAGCACAACAGTAAAAATCCTATTTATCGAATTCCTAAGCACGCTTGTTTTCTTCTTTTTTTGTTCTGGTCCCAAAGCAGGGGCACTCTTGCCGATAAAAGCGAAAATGTGAGCGTCAGGAAGTATCTTAGAAGGAATAGATGCGATCGCTGGGACAAGAAATCTATTCGCCTGCCGTTTCGGATTTCTTTTTGCAACCATCATCATGGGCAGTAGCAGAAACGGATGCTTCCTACATAGGGTGTTGCAGTTTTTATAGGATGCGCTCGCTATGCTGCTGCATAGCTACGATACTTAACTGCCCCCCCCCTATCGAAGATAGTCGCCCGCTTGTGCGCTAATTGCTCGATGGCCGTCTTGCGAGTCGGCTGGTTGTTGCAATTTTTCCCAGGGGGAGGGGGAGGGGCAAACTCAGTATCCTGTGTATCAGCCTTTGAACGAAACCTCCCTCTTCCTCCAGAATATGTTTCGTTCACGACTGCCCTTTTACAGATAGGAGGTTTCGGCTCTCTCTCTTGCTGTTACTTCCCTGCCAGCTAGTAAAAAGCAGGAAGCTTCTTCCGCCTACCTAAGCCTCCTTAGACGTCTAAACGAACATTGCTGCGCCCTCTTTTTGGATGAACAATTGTTGAGGGAAAAACTGTTAGACCTACCAAATGCGTTGGATTCAGGGGGCTTCCTTCCCGCCTCTGGTGCACTTTCGCCGCGGATTGATTCGTTTGACCTTGAGTCAGCATTCCAGTGGACGTGATTGGCCAAGATGTACGGCGGTTGACACACCTCATTAACCGAAATTCTCAACTTTGCTTTCTTCTATAAAGGGTTTATTAGATTATCTTGCAGAGTAATCCCAAGCAAGTGCATGTGGCCAATGAATCTAAAACTAAGCTAAAACCCAGCCAAACAAAAGTAAACTACAATAAACTAAACTAAATAAACTAAAAAGAAGCCTAAAACCAAAATAAAACTACTAAAACTGATTAATAAACTGAAAGCAAAACGAAAACTAAACAGAAGAATAAACTAAACTATAAACAAATTGGTTTTATTCTTCTTTTTCTTGATGGCGCGCCAAACATTGGTGTCAAGCGTAAGATTATTTAAACAAGATTTACCAGATTTGCACACTTCCCTGCCCACTTTTTTGCCTGAGCTCCTTTTTCCCCTGTTTTTCCTTACATCTTGTTTTAACTCTCTTACTTTATTAATTAGCCCTCGTGACTATGACCTTTTTAACCTTTCTGTACCAATTAAATTTTGTATTTTTCTCATTCGTTACTCTTATCATGCATTGGAAAGGAAGCAGCTGAAGAACTCTCTCGAAATTTAATGAGTCCAATAAATCCTGCTGTTTTTTCCATCTACAAATTTGCATCTGGGAAACTTTGCCTTAAATTAAAAAAATTCTTACAGTAAGGTGTGTCTGCGAAGTGAACTGTTGTATTTTGCAGACGCTTTTTCTAGGCGGTACTCACTTCCCAAACGCAGCATACCGCTCCGCCACAGAGATTTGACAGTTTTTTTGTTTTCTGTACACATAGGAGTGTCTATCGTGGTTTACCGGTGCTATCGAACTTCTGGAACAGGACGCGCAGACTGCCATATTTACAAAGCATTTTCTCAAACTTGATCCAGATCAGCTACACTCCCTCACTGGTAAGCCGTCCGTTTTCCGCTGTTCACTACTCATTGTCCCCCTGTCGCTCTCACTGCCTACATTTGCATTTTCCGCTGTTAGAGGGCTCATTTTGATCAATAAATAATCCCGTGATGGGAGTGGTTATGTCGACAAAGCGAAGGTTTCCCAAATCAAAAGGGAAGACAAAAGAAAATAGGACAACTTTTACTGCGATAAAAATGAGCTGTACAAGGGCTGTGTCACATGCCATTTGTGCCCATGAAAGTGTGCGCTGTTGTGAGGCTTTGTCCGCGTGATTTGTGCTCTGTCGCCTGCACAGCTAATCATGTGAGGCGGGGCGTATCGATTGGCATCGAGCGTACGTGCGTATCAAGCAGTGAGTCGACCGATATCGTGAGAAGGGCCGCGTGAGTGCAAGTCATGGCAGACGAAGATAGGACAAGTCAGCGCGGTGGTGCTGGGCGCGTTGACCCCACAGTGGAATCACAGTTCAACTGTCGTCTTTGACGAGATTCACCGTTTACTCCACAGCAAGATGGACCAGAGACCGCAATCTGCGCTGAATTACAGTGAAGGTAAACTAACGATGTATCTACTGATCCCGCTCCCACACCTGCGCTCAGTGTCATGATAAAGTCAAGAAGCCCAGAGGCAGAAGAGGGCGCGAGTGGTTGGCGCGACCGTAGCCAAACCTCGGCATGCCGCCATACGCAGCGGAGTGGGAGTACCGGAGGCCACGATGGACAAATCCACACAAACACTTACACTGAACTGACTGCGCGATCCGAGTTATCCTGTTAGTTGTTAGTCTTCTAAGTCACCGCCTTTAGCCTGCACCGTGATCAATTCATAATGAGGAAAATGCACTCAGTCGTGTCGAGCCCATTCCCTATTTCCATTCGCAGACCCTAGCCACTGTTTGAGTCGGTAACTGGACTAGACCCGGTTGTCTAGTCGGTTACGATCGGCGATACGAAAAACTGTAGGCTAGGTGTTCACTGATTAAAATACATGACCTAAAAACTCTCAATATGTTAAAAACTCCGAGCTAAGTTTCCAGGTCCTTCAAAACTCGAAGTTGGAGACGGCTGGCTGATAAACCAGGAATGGTCACCCTAGTCTCCGTTGTCATTGTCGGTATGCCCCTCTTTGCGAGGACTCTGAATGGTTCCCCAAGGTGCAAGACGATAAAGATATCCCGCCCATCGTATGAAATTGCATTTTCATAAGCTGACATTAAAAGCAGCCTGCCATGCAGGTGAACGGGTCTTCCCCATGAAAATGCAATTTGCGTTTAAGCCAGATGGCTCGAACGGTTGCATGATCCCTTGGTTGATTTTCTTAAACATGCTGATCAAAGACAACACGCTGCAGAAAACCGCTTTACGCATTGTCCACTGTCTTTTTTAGGATTTAAGTGCTTCGAGACCTTCTTCGTCAAGGTGAATCTGAATGAAAATCGTCTGAAAGTGCACGGCGACGCCTGGGTAGGTGTTTTTTTATCCGCATAACTTCAGCGGAATTTAGCCAATCAGACAATCAGATTCTTATGGCATTCATGCACGTATACCTCTCCCATCCCTCTGTCTGTGATTGTAGAAAGTCGAGCGGATGGAACTGATCGGCATGGACATTCTGTGGGACTTGTATACCACGTTTCCACCAGCCCCACAAGTGACCCATCCTGTGTCTTCCGCCAGGGAATCTTGTCTCCCAGGCGGCGGAACTGCCAGCACCCCAGTAGGCCCTAGCGGATATGCGGCGAAACTGGGCCAATCACCGGCGACCCCCGGCGGCGCACGTAATGAAGGCGTTAATGGGGTCAATCTGCGCACCGCTGTTCTACTGT